CCCTGATTGTTTCTGTTGTAAAGATGCCGAGAGACTCTTTCCAGAAAATATTACTCTCATTCTGGGTAATACAGTCAATATGCCTCCACATGTATAGAAAGTAAAGAGACTTCAAAGACCTGTAGGTGTTTCTAGTACAGCTTTGCTCATTGGAGGCAGCAACTGAATGACAAAAAACTCCCAGATTGTCTTCAGTAACAGGCAAACGGTGCTTTTAATCAAGGCATTTATACAGCTAACTGAATTTACTGTTGACGTGTGTGTGTGTGTGTGTAGCAGGGAGGTGAGAACACTATCAGCCCCACCACAACAGATAACGGGTAAAAACACATCTACAGAGATTAGACAGGGAAGCAAACTGCCTTGTATGTGTGTAAGTGTCATTTCTAAGTCTTTCTAATGTCATCTGGTTTAATCAGATTAACACTCCCACCCAAATCCTATTAAACACACACACACACACACACGCTGAAAATCACACGGACAAAAAAAGAGGAACTGAGACGTCATCTCACATTAGCTTTCATTTATTTTTCAACTTTGTCTTTCTGTCACTCTTTTTTGTTTTTCTCTGCGGTCAGTCTTCTCTGTCTTTTTTTTCTTTCTTTCTTTCTAAATAGAGCTGTTAATGATCTTCCCACATTCAGCCGTCATTTCTACAAAACATGAATTCGAGCAGACGGTTTTCGTACAGACTTGCCTTTTCACACACACACTGTCTCTCGTTTTCACACACACACAAAGGCAGAAATGTGATAGCTCTGTGTGATAAAAGATCGGGCAGGTGATAAAAAGAGAGGAAGGGAGTGTTCTTCTGTCTTTGCTCTGAAAGTTCAGGTAAACTGTGACACCAGTGTGTGTGGGTGGGTGTGTTTGTGAAGCCGAGTGGTTATCTTTGTATTTTGTGTGCGTTTCAGCAGTGACTTCACTCTACATCTGTCAGCAGCCTTGTTCAAACACACATTAAACAGGGAAAATGTCACTTCACTTAAAACAAAAGCTGCTTCACCGTGGGTCTTATCAGCGGGTGACAGTCTTTACCAGCTAGTTACCCGCAAACCGGTGTCAGCGGCGCCATTAACTGAGCTGCCACAGTGACTCTGTGGAGTGTTGGCATCAAACACACTCGGGTCAACGGCCCACGTCTGTCTCTTTGCCAGCAGATATTCAGGCGGCATCAACAGCTGGAGGTTAATGTCAGCTGAGCTTTTTTTTTTTTAAAATAGAAATTTAAATATAACAATTGCATCCAATTTAATCATGATAGTACTGACATGGAGTTATCTGGCCAGCAACTGTGTGTGTGTGTGTGTGTGTGTGTGTGTGTGTGTGTGTGTGTGCACTGACTTTCTTTCTACATCTGTGTGCACCTTTATTTATACATATGCATGTCCCTCTGTGTGCTCTTTCATTATGTTATGTGTGTATGTTTGACGGCCCTGTGTGCATACGTGTGAGTACACTGTGTGCTCATGTGTGCACCCATGGGTGTGTGTTTTTTCAGCCCATGTGTTCCAAAATTATTAATTAACCTTAAGCGCTGTGATAATTGTTTTGTGTTCTATTTTTAAACCTTAACCCTCTTGACCCTGAAACCCACTAGAGGTTTGAAAGGCTTGTTTTTCTTTCATAGAATCACCCAAACTACACCATTTATCAGAGCCAGAAATGATCAGATTTGTAACTTTAAGACAATCCTTGCACTAATCATCTTTGACGTACCATTTGGTTGGAAAACGTGACTAAATCCAAGCTTAAAATCGTCATATGTGACCCATCTGCACGAAATCAGTCGCATTGCGCCGCCTCGGGCTATACCCGAGATACAGCCCGAATTATGTTAACACATGATTAGATATTGATTTTGGGTTTATTTCTTTGTTTTCTCCATGTAGGTAGCATATAATATTACAGAGCGTATTAACATTATGCTCCATATCTCTGTCAAATACCGTCAGACTGATTTTGTGCAGATGGGTCAAATATTTCATCAAAATCTTTTTATTCTGCATGTGTCATTTTTTAAAACATTTGCAAAAATAAAGCACTTACAGGAACCACATTCTGTG